CCCCCAGCCTCTAGTCTCTCAGTAATAACCTGGTAAGTACCAAATCCTCCCACCAGTTGGTCTCTCCCCATCCTGTCTCCGCCTGACCTGCAGCAGAAGACTCTCTTATTGGTGGAAAGTCCAATGGTTGGTAATATAATAAAGAGAATGGAAAATCCCAATAAAGGAGGTAACAGGGTCAACAATGGAGGAGGCTGAGTTTGGAGTCCCTCTCCAAAAGTATTTGGAGTGGTCAAGAGAGAGAGAAACTATTGATAGTACAGGGGGGTAGGTTAAGAAGCTCTTGACCCACCAGAAGAGGCAGAATCCCAATTTGAGAGGGAGAGAGATGATGCTCACCTGGTTCCACAGGATAGGGGCCTGGTCCCCAGGTGAGGGGCCAGGTGGAGGGAGCAGCCGGTCTCGGGTGAGGATGGCTGCTGCCCGCAGCATGAAAGACGTAAACAGGTTGATATGGATGTAGTTTCGAGTGCAGTGCAGTCGCCTGGGGATTTGGGAGGCAGTCTGGGGACCCATGAAGACCTGTCCTTGGTGACACAGAGCCCCTTCAACCACCTCCCAGCCCTTCCCACAGAACCGCCATTGGGTGCTTGATGCTGGTGGAGCCTGACCACCCACCTTACCGGGCAAACTGAGGCCCAGCCTCGGCCTCTGCCACTCACGGTTGGGGGGTCCCACCTGAAGAAACTCAAGATGAGCAGAGCGAGCAGCAGTGTGGCCAGGGACAGGGAGTAGCCCACGGTGTACACAACCTGTAGCCGCTCCAAGATCAGCCTTTGGTCCTGCGGGGTATAGGGGGAGACACAGGAACAGAACTCAGCTTTTCCCCCAGACCTGGAAAGGGGCTGGACAGACATCTATCTGCCCAGCACCCCAATTTTCTCTTTGGGATCCAACTACCCTTATTTCAGTGGGGCTAACTCCACCCCTCAGTTCTAGGGCTGTACATATGACCAGCTAATCAGAGCATTCTAACCACCCCCTCCACACACAAAGTGATTAGCCCAGGGTGGGCATATAACCCAAACCAGGGCAATAAGAGTCAGTCCTATAAGTTTGGTGCCAGATGCCCACTTGAAATATCAGGGGGATCACTTCGTAAATTATTTGATTGTTTAACCACTATGCTGTACACCTGAAACTAATATAAAATAATATTGAATGTCAACTGTAATTTTAAAAATAACATTTAAAAAAAGAGTCAGTCCTGTGACATTATCCTGGAACTACTGAAAATGAAGCTCAATCTCCCCACAGTGTTGCTTGGTTGGTGGCATGTGAGCCTGGTGCTTATGGGAAAAACCTTTTCCACCCCACAGAAAAGATGAGACCAGCACAGAGGAAAACATAGGCATGACATGTTGAGCAACAAAGAGATTCCCAGCAACATCATTTGAGCACCTAGATCCAGCTGTGCCTGAAGCTGTATGTGGCCTTATACTTTTTAATCACAGAAGTAAATAGATATTTTTTTATCCCTCAAGCAAGTTTAAGTTGAATTTCTATCACTTGGAACCCAGGGTCCTGAACAGTACAAGGGGTTTCAGGCTCGGTCTGAGGCTGCTGCCTTTTCACCTCTCCCTGGACACCCAACCTGAGTCCCTCGCCTCTTCTTACCTGAATGGTCCCATTCTTCTCCGGGCTCTCACACTGAGAATGGTCTCTCCAAGGTCCCCACTGGCCATCATTGCCACAATGGCGGAGGACAAAACCTGCAGCCACTGTGAGGAATCGAGGGAGGGGAGCATGGGCACAGAGAAGGAGAGATGGAGACAGAAAGACCGACTGTGAGACAAAAGCAGAGCGAGATAGCCAATGTGATGATGATGGTGATGATGGTGATGATAAGCCTTTAGATGGAATTTTACACGTATGAATTTAATATTCATAAGAAGCCTGTGAAGTTGGTACTATCATCAATCCCATTTTACAGATGAGGAGATTGAGGTATGAAGAAATTAAATAAATTGCCCTGGACCACATAGCTGGTTAGGACAGGAAGGCCAGGATGCCCAAAGACAGGCTCAGAAAAAGGAGAGAAAACAAGAACCGGGTTGTCCTCAGAGAGATAAGAGACTGAGAAGGGGCATTTTGTGACAGAGCCAGGATCAGGGTGACCCAGCCAGGGTCGGACAGACAGAGGAGACACCCAGATGGACAGAGAGGAGCAGGAGATGGGGTGTAGGTGAGTTTTGGGGAAGTGGTGTCTGGGGCAAGGGTTAGGAGCTCTTTGTATTAGGAAAGGCCCACATTCCAGGGGGCACCTCACCGTAACGGTGCCAGGGCAGGTACCAGGGGCAGGAGGCTCGGGCAGTGGTATTGGGTGCAGCATAGTCCCAGCAGACGTACATATCAAAGGACCCATTACAGGCGAGGCCTGGAGTGGGCGTAGGGGCAGACGTCAGGTGGACCTACCGCACCCCGTGCCCAAAGCGTCTCCCCCTTGCACACGCAAGCCCTGCCCTAGGCCCGCCCACCTGAGGTGGTCCAGCCCTACATCGCCACAGCTCCGCCCACCAGACCC